CCCCAGCACCGGCCACGAGGCTCGGCTGCACGGCGCCCGCCGGCCGCTTCTTGGGGGTGGGGGGCTCGCCTGGCAATCCCGCCCCTTCCGCGCGGGGCCTCCCGCTCTGCACATGTTCAGAGGCCCTCAGAGCCTGCTCGCCCTGAGCTGTCGCGAGGATGCCGCGGAGCCGCCGGGGAGTCGCCTTGCTGGCGCTGCTGCCGCCGCTGCTAGCTGTGGCGCAGGGCGAGGCCGGGGAAGCGGCGGGCAGCGGGCAGCAGCAGCAGCGTCCCTTCGCCGTCCTCCGGAGGCAGAACCTGGGTAAGGAGGGCTGGGTGGGACGGCCGGAGCCCCCCTGGCTCCTTCCCTGCCTGGCGGCTCTGCCCTGGCCCTGCTCCTCCGCGGCCTCGGCTACCCGTGGGGGGTCCCTGTCCTGACCGGGCCGCCTTTTCTTCCGCAGCTCTGCTGGGCAGCGTCTTCGGCCTCCTGCTGCTGGCCGCCCTCCTGCTCGCCGTCTGCGTCTATCGGCCGCTTCGCCGCAGGTAGCCGGGACCGCGACCGCCGGGACCGAAGCTCCGCCCGCCCCCGTCCCGCCTCTCTCTCTCTCCCTGACCTGCCTCCGCCGCGCTCGGCTGAAGCGCCTTCAGCCACGGAAGGTCTCGGCCCTGCGCCCCCAGCTGGGCTCGGTCCGATTCCCAATGGACCGCCGACCGTTGCAGCGCGACCCCGAGGGCCGCCAGAGGCCCCGTTCTCGCCCAGAGCCCGGACGGCGGAGCCTCTTACGGGCTGCCCCAGAAAGCCCTCCTCTCGCCGGCTGTGCAGCTCCCAGGAGTCGGATGGGGGTCTCGCCGGAGGGGAGCCCAGCAGGCAGACGGTGCCCAGGGAAAGCGGCCGAAGGCTGCTCTCTAGCTTCCCCTCGTGACTGCTGGCGTTCCTGCTGTGGTTCCCTGCTTTTTGTCGTTATGTCCTAATGGGGTTTCCCTGATGTGCACCGGCTCCTTTGGGGTAGGAAATAAAACAGCTGTCGATGTGATTTGGCTCAGCTGGTCTCCATCTTCTCTTGGGGGGAACTTGCCTTCTGTCAGCCAGCAGGACCCCAACGTTGGAGGGCACCATTTCTGCTCTTGGGAACAGATTGCGCCACCCTGAAATTGCAGCTTGACGGGATGCGTCCCCCTCCTCTTTGCTCTTTGGGGTCCGCCTCCTTCCCCCACTTCCAAGACAGAACTTCTCCCTTAACCTAAAGAGCCCCCCCTCCCTCCCCTCTTTCTCAGGTAAGGAACTCAGCCAAGACAGGAGTTGCCCCCACTTTATTTAAAAACACAAACCCCCCAATTGCCAGGAGGGGCAGGAGCGGGGGGGGGGGGGTTACAGAGACACCAAGAAGCGGCCGGAGAAGTCCGAGGGGAAGCGGAAAGGCAAAGCACTCCGGCACGTAGGCCGTGAAAGACACCTGGCGGCTGCTGAAATCTTTGGTAGATGAGGAGCTGACTCGTAGGAAGCCCCTCCCTCGGCTCAGGCTGTGGCCCACCTCCCCCCCCCCTTTGAGGCTGGCAAGGGTCCCCCCACCCCTTCAGAACAGGCTTTGGCAAAGGAAGATGGGGGGGTGCCCCCTTCGGCCGAGCGCAGAGGAAGATGAGCAGATCTTTGGGCTCAAAGCTTTGGCGAGTGAGCGGGAGAGCCCCCTCCCTCCCTGCCAAAGTGGGCCTGGCCTGGTCTCCCTTTCCAGTGCCCAGGCCAAGAAGGGCCGGGCATCATCCGTCGCGCGCTTCCTGCAGGCGTCGTGCCGCTACTTTTCCAGCAGGGAGCGCTGGAGAGCCTCCTTCAGCTCCTCCTCCTCCTCCTCCTGCCTCCGCTGCTCCCGCTCCTGCTGCTCCTGGAGGGAGAGCGCCATGGCCAGGTGCAGCTCCCGGTCAAAGGTGGAAGACCCCCGCAGGGGTGGCCTGGTCCCGCCACTGGCCAGGAGGCTCTCCTGCAGGGCCCTGCGCGGGACAGAGAAGCGCTTTCTGAGCAGCGGGATGGGATGCCCCGGGGCTCTGCCAGAGCAGGGGCTCCAAGCCTGGCAACCTGAAGACCTGGGGGAGGGTCTCCCTGCTCTGTTCAGGGCAGACCAGGCAGCTGCCCGGAGTCCCTGGCAGGAGGAGCAAGAGGGCAAGCGAGAGCCTGGAGGGCTTGTTTGGCCAGGTGACGGGTCTTGGCACCACCCCTGCCCACCAGCCTGGGGTGCCCTCGCTGGCCTAGGTGCACCCCTGGGGAACCGTGAGGAAGAGCCTGAGGCCCCCAGGTGGCTGGCATCCTTCTCGGCCTTACCTTTGATAGTGGAGGTGGAGGTCCTGGGCGTAGGAGACGTCCCCGTTCAAGGGTGGCCCCAGAGGCTCCTGGGAAGACAGAGAGGTGACCGGGGGGCCCTCCTCCCGCCCCGCCCTCCCTGCAGCTGTGATCCCTGGGCTGAGCCAGGGGTCCTCCGGGGGTGCAACCTCTGAAGGCGCCTGGGTCCAATGGCCAGACCGAAGGGCAGCCTCAGCTCTCGGCCCAAACTCACCTGGCTGGGGCTGGACTCCATCAGGCTCTGCTGGATGGCAAACTGCATGATTTCATTGTCCTCGTCCTGCACGTGGAGGTTCCGGCCGTCGTCCTGCAGCCGGTAGGATTTGGGGATCTCGAAGACGGAGGGGTCCACCACAAAGGGGGAGGCCGGGGCAGCTGGGGGGGGGAGGCCTCTGATCAGGACAGCTGCCAACTGGGAACCCGGACGGGCCGTAGTCCCCCTCCCCCTCTTGCCTGAAGGCTACAGACGCCCTCCCTCCCTCCTCACCCGTGGTCCCCTGGGGGCCTTCGGGCGAAGCCTCTTCCAGGGTGCTGCAGCAGTTGACGCGTCCGAAGGTAATCCTGGCATTCAGGACGTGGAACAAGGGGATTTCTGGGGGGGGGGGGGGGAGAAAGGGAGAAGTGAGGGGAGGGCCCCCCAGGCATCTTTGCCCCCCCCCACCACCAATGGGCTTCGGGAGGCTTTGTTTCGGCTCAGAAGTGCAGCAGAGCCAGGGAACCGCACCGATTTTGACCGGGAAGCCCGGAGGGAAGTCCAGGGTGATGAAGTCCTTCAGCCGGGCAAAGTGGGCGCTGGTCCTGGCCATCAGGTCCACGATTGGAGAGACCTGCTCCACGAGGGAGAGCGGGAACTCTTCGGACATCCACAGGTTGGCTTTAAACCTGGGCAGGGAAGGCGGGAGAGTTGCACGGGGGGGGGCACAATCCTGGGACATATTCCTAAGGGCCTCCCACCCTCCCCAAGCCAGAGGTGCGTGTGTGTGGGGGGGGGGGTTGAAAGGAGAGCTGCTCGTTTGCAAATGTGGGAAGAGAAAGAGGAGCCCCCTCCTCTCCCCCAAGGAGCTGCCTCTTCCTGGGGGAGCAAAGCTGGTGGGGGTGGGGGGATATGCAGGTTGGGAGCTAAGGGGCGGGAGAACCAATGCCTTTACTTCTGAGTCCGAATGGTCACTTCTTTGGGCCTGCCAATGTCTCTGTCCTTCAACTCAAAGTCGGGGTCGAAGTATTCCTCCGGGGTGAGAGCGGTCGGGTTGTTGGTCGAGGCAAATTCCGTCGTCAGGTCCTGGGGAAAAGGGGGCAACTGAGCGGCTGCCCTCAGGGGCGGCTCCCTCCCTCCCTCCCTCCCTCGGTGGCTGAGAGCAGGAGGCCGGGAGGGCAGAGCCGGAAGACTCACCTGCTGGGCTCCGTATTCGTGCTCAATGGTGCCCAAGAAGGACTCCAGGGGGTTTCGGTCTGCTGGAAGAAAGGGAGAGGGGCCAGTCAGCTCCAAGCTGCCCCCTTGCCCCACCCACCCAGGGCCTCCCAGTCGCTCTCATCAGAGCAGCCACCTTTGTATCTCCTCTTCTCCTCCTCCGTCAAGTGCTCCGTCCGGATCCTGGTCACCACGTTCACGTTGTTGGCCGTGAAGACCTGGAGGAAGGAGCAAGAGGCTGACGCCCGCCCACCGTAGGGAAGCCGCTCCCCAGAGGAGAGGAAGAGGAGGAGGAGAGCCTGAGGTGAGGAGGCACCGGGGCCCGGCTCCAGGCGGCTCCTCACCTTGGCTTCGTAGTCATTCACCACTTCGCTCCTCTCCGTTTTCCAGACCCAGAAGCCAGAGGTATCTCTGCAAGGCAAACATCCGTTTCCTGGCCTCTGAGCTCCTGCCGTCCTTGGCCCAGGAACTTGGCTCAGTGCTCCCCACGCTCCCTCAGCCCTTGGAGGGAGAAGGGCGGGCACCTCTTGGGGGGGCTGCTCATTCCCGCCAACCCAGGGCCGTGGCGCAAGAGGACCCCAGTAGACACGGAGCAAGGGCTCCCGCTTCCCCCCCACCTTTCAAAGGCGATGTTCTTGGTGTCCAGGGAGGTGCTGAGGATGGGAGAGGTCAGCCGTCGCTCCACCTCCTTGCTCTTGGGGACCATGGAGTCCAGGGTCAGCCGCTTGATCTGCTGCGTGATCTCAAAGCGTTCGGCTGCCACTACTTGGTCGTCATGGTTAACCTCAATCAGCTCAGCCCAGTGCCCGGTCTCTGGAAAGCCAAGTGGGAAGGGCTGGCACAGAGGGTTATGGTCCCTCCCCCCCTCCCTCCCTGTTGTAATATATTTCCTTGTGTAGGTGTGGGTCACCCATGGCCCAGTTCATACCAGGGCATGCAGAGCCACACTGAACCACACAGGAGAAAACAAACTCCTAAAACTCCATAACGTCCTGATAGTGCATAACATAACATCCTGAGATGTGCCCTACCAATGACGCCCAGGATTTGACCATATATAGACAGAACTTCCCTGAGCAGAAGATTAGAAATTGTACTTTTACAGGCTGTTTTTAACCACATGCTGATTGCTCCTCCTGCCTTTGTCCTATCTCAATAAAAGGGGCTCTCAGACCCCCAATCTGGGTCGCTCCATCCCGAGAAAGATCGTGTCCTGTCTTTTCTCCACATTGGCCTCATGGACGAACCACGGGAACGTTACACCTCCCTCCACTGGAGTTCTGGCACGGCTCACCTTCCCCTCTGAAGATCAGGCTGCGCCTCCCTCGCTCCCAGCTCATGTTTTCAAAGCCCAGCAGGGTGATATCCACGCGCAGCTTTGCGCCGCTCTTCCAGATGCGGCAGACGTCACTGGGGCAAACTCTGGACACCAGCGGGACTGTGGGGAGATGCAGGGAGGGCGGGAGAGCTAAAAGCTGAGTCACGGGAACTGGCGCGATTCACAAAAGGAACGCCGGTTTTCCCAGGCTGAGCGGGAGAGGTAGCATGAACTCGGTCCAAGAGGATCGGTAAACCTCCCAAAAGCAGCAACTTGGTTCAGACTCACCCCAGCTGGTGAATTCCCACTTCATTTCCACATAGAAATCTGGAGTCTACGGGGAGGGAAATGAGAGAGGAATGAAACGTTCCCCTTTCGAGAGGAAGCCTGATTCGGCCTGCAGTGAGCCTGACAATTTGAGCCTCCTGTGGCATTAAGGGACAAGGCCTCAGTGCCTCCCAGCCACGGGATTTGGGGGAAAGGGAACATCGTTCGGCTGAGGGTGCGAATCTGAACAGGTGGACTCAGAAACAGCACAACGCCCGACGCTTGGCTAGGCGAAAGCCTTAAGAGCCGGGATGGGAAACCCATGGCACGCATGCCACAGGTGGCACACGGAGCCATTTGTCAGGGCACGCGAGGCGTTGCCCTGTCAGCTGGCCAGCGCGCATGTGTGCCCTGGCCAACTGACTTCAGACTTCTTTTAGGCCATTTTTCGCCCTTCCCCAGGCTCCAGAGGCTTTATAGGAGCCTGGGGAGGGCAAAAACGCCTCCCCTGCCCCCTGGAGATCCCCTGGAGGCTTCAGGGAGGCCCCCGGAGCTTCCCTGAAGGCTCCGGAGGACTAAAAACAGCCCCATGAGCAAACCGGAAGTCCGTTCCCAAACTTCCGGTTTGCCCATAGGGCCGGGTTTTTGCGCTCCTGAAGCCTCCGGAGGGTCTTGGGGGGGTAAGGAAGGCTCTTTTCGCCCTCCCCATGGTCCTATAAAGCCTCTGGAGCCTGGGGAGGGCGAAAAAAGCATGCAAAAAATGGTGTGTGTGTGTGTGGTGGCCATTCGTGCATATGCGCTGGGGGTCATGTATTGCATTACAGGTGTGGCACACCCACACGCACCCCCCCTGGTGCTCCCCCCCTTTTGGCATGCAAGCAAAAAAGGTTGCCCACCCCTGCCTGAGGGGCTTTCGGGGGGGGGGGGGGGGAATAAACCACCGTAGCAAAATAAGGGCAATCCGCATTTAGGCCGCTTTAGAACGTGGAGGCTGCTGGGAGGCCCAAAGGGTTTTCACCCAAGCGGCTTCTTCTTTCCTGCTCCCCGCGTTACCTCGCTGATCTTCTGAAGCAATTCGGGGACCCCCCCCAGGGTTGTGGACGTCTGCTGGAAGTCACGGTGTTGAAGGACCATTTGGACTATTTCCGGATCGCCGGTGCTGATGGCCTCGTGCAGGACTGGCAGAAAGAGAGAGGAGCTGAGTCTGCAGGGGAGGCAAGAGCTCTTCCACGCCTCCCCTTCCCCACCACCTGCTCGGACTCACCTGTCCACCCCTGGCCGTTCTCCTTCGTGACGTCCGCCTTGTGCCGCAAGAGGACGCGGACAGACTCTGCGTAGCCCAAGGAGACCGCCAGGTGCAAGAGGCTTCGCCCGCGGGGATCCTGCTGCTCGACATCCTGGGGAAAGGAGAGGGAGGGGGGGGGGAGATCTCTTCTGAGGATCCCTGGAGCCCACCAGGGAGGCCGGCAGGATGGCGACCCTTTTGCAGACACACCATGGAACCTACGGAAGCAGCTCCAGGCCTGCGACGGACACGGCGTTGCTTCCTCCGACACACAGACAGGCAAGCTCAGAAATGAGGCAGCGTCGGTCCCCCCAGGGGACCCCTCCTCGCTTTCCTTCCCTCCCTTGCCAAGAGAAGCCCTTTCTCCCCTCCTGGTGAGGGCTGGTGAGGGGGCTGATCTTCCTAACCAGGCTGGGGGGCATTTGGGGAGGGGGGGAAGGAGAAGCCACTCAGAGGGGGGGTCTCCTCCTCCTCCTGATCCTAACCAGTGGGGGGAATTTGGGGAGGGGGGAAAGGAGAAGCCACTCCTCAGAGGGGGGGGTCTCCTCCTCCTGATCCTAACCAGACTGGGGGGGGCATTTGGGGAGGGGGCAAAGGCGGCTCCTCCCCAGCCGGACCTTCCGCCTCCGGGCCCAGCAGGGCCAACCAAAGGGGGGGGTCCCTGTTGGGGAGGGGGCGGCCAGGGCCGGCGGGGGGAGGGTCTCGCTCGCCCCCCCCCCAAGAGGCCTTTCCTGGGCAGCCCCGCGGCCGGGGATGATGGGTGCGCGTGTGCTCGGATGGGATGCGCACAGAGACAAATGAGCGTCCGGACGGGCACGGATGCGAGCGCGGCCGGCATGCGAGGCCCGCGCCCCTTACCTCCGCCTCCGGCCACGCGCGGGGCGAGCTGAAAGAGAAGAGCACCTGCGGCTGAGGCGGCCTGGCCGAGCCCCGGCGCCCGCGGCAGTCTGACCCGAGCGCCGCCCCCGCCTCCTCCCCCGCGCTACCTGGCCCTGCAGGGCGGCCTCCAGGCGCCGGGAGTCGTTCCGCCAGACCAGCCGGTGCAGCGGGAACCGGGCGCTCATGCTGCGGCCCCGACTCCTACGCCGCCCGGCCCGCCATGGCACGGCCGGCTGAGCACCGACCCGCCTGCTGCCCTCCGCCCGGCCCCGCCGTCGCTCTCGCCGCCGCCGCCGCCGCCGGGCCCGGAAGGAGGGAGCTCCGCCCTGCGGCGGCTCGGCGCGGCCCGTGACGCCCGGCGGGCCATCTTGGGTGAGGGCAGCGGCCGCCCCGCTCCTTGCGCGGCCGCCATGTCGACCAAGGGCGCCGTCGCCCCCGCGCCCCCCGCGGGCCAATGGGGAAAAGGCGCCGTGGCTCCTCCCACTCGCGGCCATGTTGAGCGAGGGCAACCCACAGAAGCGGGTCCTGAGGCGACCCGGCAACTGGCAAGGGGCGTTTCTCTGGGGAAAAGGAAAGGCGGGGCCTTCTGGCTTCCGGGGGGGGGGAAGGGATTGAGGATGAAACTGCGGCCAATTTCTCCCGCCGCTCTTTCCGGCCGTCTTTGTCGCTTCTTTTCTAAAGGGAGACCTGGAGAGCGGCGGTTTTGCCCGCCCTAGAGATGGCCGCGCCTGCCTCCCTTCGCCCGGCGTCGGCATGGCGTCCACAGCCCCACCCACCCCCTGCGCGCGACGTACGGAAGCCTCTTGGCGAATGGCGCCGCTTGCGCGGCGAGGAGCGCCGGCGGCGTGCGCGTGCGCGTGCAGGCTGCTCGGGCGGAGGGCGACCTGCGATCGGCGGAGACCCCCGGCCCTCCCTGCCCGCCATGGCCAAGCGGCTGCGGAGCAGCGACGTCTGCGCGGATTGCAGCGCCGCGGGTACGCCCCGGAGGGGGGAGGCGAAGAGGGGCCCCGCCCGCGGCCAATGCCGGAGATCGGGGCCTCTGAGCTTGTGCAGAGCGCCCCGAGGCCGACGCGGGGGGCGGGGCCTCTCGGGGGCGCGGGGCGGGGCGTGCAGCCAAGGGGGCGGGGCGTCCCTAGCCGGGGGGGGACCCCTTAGCGCCCCCTCCCAACCCCCGGGGGTCTCCGGGGCCGCCGCCGACGCTCCTCCCGGCTTCCCCCCGCAGAGCCCAGCTGGGCCTCCGTCAACCGCGGCGTCCTGCTGTGCGATGAGTGCTGCAGCGTCCACCGCAGCCTCGGCCGCCACATCTCCCAGGTGCGGCACCTGAAGCACACGCCCTGGCCCGCCACGCTCCTGCAGGTACCGGCCCCTCCGCCCCCCGGAAGGGGAGACTCAATTGAGGGCGCATCTGGAGGGGGGTGACGCCAGAGGCCCCATCTGGCTCCCCTGCCCCCCTCCTGGGTGAGGAATTGGGGGGGTCGCTTCATGAGACGGAGAAAGGGAAGGGGGGGCTCGAACCTCCCGAGGCGCCTTCTGGGTGGGGGTGGGGGAATTGTTGCAATGAGCAACAGGCGCTTCGGACGGCTGAAGGGTTTCTGGGCATGGCGCAAACCAGCCGAGGATGAAGAAATGCCACTGGTTTTATGTCGCAATGTGAGACCCGGGGCCTTTATTAAGCCACACAGATTCTGCCTTTAAACTGACAGGTAGAGAGGTTCAGTTTTCGGGCTGGCGAAGGAAGCAGCGCAGGCTTTCTCTCCGAAACGCCAACCGGTGGCTGGTATTCAGAGAAAGCGCCGTGCGCGACTTCCTCCAGCCGCGAAGCCACCGGGGAGGTTGAGAAGCGGCAGACCCTCCAGGGCTTCTTCGCCTCCTCTTTTGCAGATGGTGGAAACCTTGTACAACAATGGCGCCAATTCCATCTGGGAGCATTCGCTGCTGGACCCGGCCTCCGTCATGAGCGGACGGCGCAAAGCAAACCCTCAGGACAAAGTGCAGTAAGTGGCGCGAGCATCAGGGCCGGAAGGAGCCCCAAGAGGCGGCCTCCTACTCGCACGGTCCCTGGCTTAGTTGATCTCTCGTGGGGGTCCGTTCCTGCCCCCTCCTCCTCCTCTGCCTCTGGGGTCCTTGGCAGGAGAGGCCCCTCGGCCTCCCGGAGGCTCTTGTGCTGCAGCCCTTTTCTCGTTCTTCGCCTCCTGCAGCCCCAACAAGGCGGAATTCATTCGGGCGAAATACCAGATGCTGGCCTTCGTGCATCGCTTGCCGTGCCGGGACGACGACAGCGTGACTGCCAAAGACCTCAGCAAGGTAGGTTCCCCCTGGGCAGGTGGTGGGAGGGAGGGAGGGAGGACCGAGGCGTCCGGCTCTTCCAGGCGCCCTCGTGTGCGGCTTCAGCCGATGCGTGACCCGCTAGGCTTAGGCGGTCTCTCAAGGCCTCTCCCACCTTTGCTTCCAGCAACTCCACTCCAGCGTCAGGACGGGGAACCTGGAGACCTGCCTGAGGCTTCTCTCGCTGGGAGCACAGGCCAACTTCTTCCACCCGGTGAGAGAATGGCAGCGGGTCTTTCTGCGGCCCGAAACGGGTGCGGGGTGGAGGCCTTGCAGCTGAGCCAGCCTCCCCCCCCCCTCTCTCTCTGAGTTCCCATCCCCACTCGAATTGTGTGGCTGTTGATTGTTTTTAAATTGTTTGTGTTTTTTTTCTTCTGTTTTTCCTGTTTTTGTCTGTGTTATTCCCTCCCCTTTGGTTTGTTACCCGCCCTGAGTTCCTCCGGGAATAGGGCGGCATACAAGTGCAATAAACCTTTAAACCTCTCGGCCCTTCCGTAGGAGAAAGGGAACACCCCGCTTCACGTGGCTGCCAAGACGGGGCAGATTCTGCAAGCAGAGTTGTTGGCTGTGTATGGAGCTGATCCTGGCACCCCAGACTCCTGCGGGAAGACCCCAGTGGATTATGCAAGGTGGGCCCTCTTTCGCCAGGGGGCGGGCAGGTTGGGGGCCTTTCTGGCTTTCTGGGGATGGAGACCTCCCCCCCCCCGGATAGAGCTCCCTTGGGAAGAACCGCAGAAGGGGGTCCCACAAAGACCCTCCTGGGAGCCCCAGGGGAGTCTGAGTGCCCCTCTGCCCACTTTTCCCACTAGGCAAGGAGGCCACCTTGAGCTGGCTGAGCGCTTGGTGGAAATACAGTATGAGCTCACCGACCGGCTGGCTTTCTATCTCTGCGGCAGGAAACCAGGTAAGTGGATGCTCTGGGTTTCCTCTGCCCCTCCGTGCGGGAGCTTCAGAGGAGGCCGCCTGCCTCCCTGCCCTGATGCTCTCTTGACCTGTCCTTTTCAGACCACAAAGGCCGGCAGCACTTCATCATCCCTCAGATGGCAGACAGGTAAGGGACTAGACCACGTGGGGGGGGGGAGGCTCCCACCCTTCCATCTTGGGAGGGGCCTGAGGACAAAGCCGTTGGAAAGCAGGATGTGGAGTTCCAGGGAGCAAGCCGGCCGGACGTCTCCTCCGCACCCACCCCTGTTCCCTCCGCTCCCCTGCCCAGCTCTGGCCTCCCTTCTGAAGGGCTCTTTCTCCTCGCAGCAGCCTGGACGTCTCTGAGCTGGCCAAGGCAGCCAAGAAGAAGCTCCAGCTGGTGAGTCTGCTCCTCCCTCCACCTTGGCTGCAAGGTGGGCAGCAGAGGCCGCCTTCCCCCCAGCTCCCCTCCCTCCCGAGTGCCCCACCTGCGGCCCCTGGGAAAGGAAGGCCTTCAGAACCGCAGGCGTTTCCCGTTGGCCCCCAGCCTCGAATCCCAGGAACTCTGGCAGGCCCAGCTTCATCGTCCGCTCTTTCTCTCCCTCTTCAGTTGAACAATCACCTGTTCGAAGAGCTGGCCATGGACGTCTACGATGAGGTGGACAGGCGGGAGACGGACGCAGGTGCTTCCCTCTGGCAGGGCTGCCCCCCAGGGCCCACCCCAGCCCTCCCTCCTGCTGTGCTGGGGTCCAAAATGAAGCCCCAGATGAGCAATGGCGGGAGGGCTCTTCTAGGGGCTTGGAGGGAGGGATTTGGGGAAGGCCGGGAGCCTTACACAGCCCTGACCTCGCCCTCTGCCCGCACCAACAGTGTGGCTGGCGACCCAGAACCACAGCACCCTGGTCACGGAGACAACCGTGGTCCCTTTCCTTCCTGTCAACCCGGAGTATTCCTCAACCAGGAACCAGGTGTGAATCTTGTCCCAGGAGAGGCAAAGCGCCCCTCTTTTCCCCCCCGGCTGAAAGATGGCAGCGCTCATCCATTTGGGCCTTGCGAATCCATCGGTCCGCTTGTCAGGCCCATCCGGGGGTGGGGAGGGACTGGGTGCCCACTCTTCTTCCCATGCCAAGTTGCCATTAGAAATGGGGTTGGAGCTCAGAAGGAAGGAGGGGGAGTCTGCTGCCAGGAGAGGCTAGTTTGGGGGAAGCCTCCAATCTCTGTGGGGAGAAGCAGCACCCCCCCCCCCCACAAAGCCCCGGGCTGCTCTCAAGGCCTCTGAAGTGCTGAAACCTTCCTTTGTCTCCGCAGGGGAGGCAGAAGCTGGCCCGCTTCAATGCCCATGAGTTCGCCACGCTCGTCATCGACATCCTGGGGGATGCCAAGCGAAGGCAGCAGGGAAACCCTGTCCCAAGTGCCACAGGTGAGCCCAGCTCTTGCGATGGCTCTCCAGTAGGCGGCAGGTGGGGCCCCCTCCCGCGATGGGTTTGGAGACGGTGAGGCCAACGCGATGGCCTGGAGCGGGGGGGGGGGGAAGACAACAGAATAGTGAAGGCTGCGTGGGAGGGGGATGGCGGGAGTCACGGGAGCAGTTCTGGAGGAGAGAGAGAGGGGGGCCTCCAGGGCAGAATGGCTCCCTCTGCCAAGGCCTCCTGCTTTCCCAGTCCCCCCCCCCCCTGCACGCATCTCTCTCTCTCTGCTCTCAGAAAACGTGGAGCTGATCCTCAAGGCCGTCAACAGCCAGCCTGGCCCTGGGGGTCACGAGGCCGACCAGCCCGACTACGACAGTGTTGCCTCCGACGAAGAAGCCGACCTGGAGAGCAGTTCAGGGAAGGCCTCTCGGCAGAAGGTGGGTGGAGACCAGGCCTTCGGGGGGGGGCTTCCTTTTGTTATGGGCCTGGAAGGACTCGGAGGAGAAGGCCGAGGCTGTCCCTGAAGGGATCCTGAGGGTCAGCCCTCTTTTCCTGAGGTCTCTGACCCTCCTGGACGCAACCTTGGCTCATTTGGGGCACCTCCCTCTAAGCATGGGGGGGGGGGTGTGTGCTGCTAGAGAAAGCGTGCCCCCTTGTAAAAGTGGGGTGGGGGGCCTCCTTCCAGAGCCTGGACTCCGACCTGTCTGACGGCCCCATCACTGCCCAGGAATACCTGCAGGTGAAAAACGCCCTGGTGGCTTCGGAGGCGAAAATCCAGCAGCTTTTGAAGGTGAACATCAACTTGAGCGATGAGCTGAGGACCATGCAGAAGAAGGTAGCCCTGCACTCCACACCCGGCCTGCTCCGCAGGGTTGCTGCGCCTGTCCGGCCACAGGCCGCTTGAGCAGAGTCCCAGGGGGTCTCTTTCCGGTGCAGGGACAAGGACAGCCCACCCAGGGCAGCGGTTTCCCCCTGCTGCCTCCAGGCCGGAACCCCCCCCCCCCCCTTTGCGGGTGCAGTCCCGAGCTCTACGGGCTGGGGACGATGGGGAAGGAAAGGCCAGCCACCTGGAGGGCGAGGTTTAGGGGGCTGGCGAGTGATTTAGCTTGGAACTGGATGTGACTTCAGATTCCCCCTGGCTTTGGTACCACAGTCGTCTCTGCTCTTCCCCCTCCTCCTCGGCCTCTCTGTACTCCCTCCGGTCCCCTCCCCTGGAAGGCCAACGTTGAGATGGGGAACTTCAGGGAGGGCCTTGGGGGCCCTTTGGGGTCTTTCCTCAGGCCCTCCTCTCTTCCCCACTGGCAGGCCTCCCCATCCTCTTTGCCAGGGGGAAGGCAAGCATGGCCCACCTTGGCTTTAGAGGGTAGTTTTATGTATTTCAGATCCAGAGAGGGGTTTGAGGGGGGGAGCAGGACTGAGAATCCCACCCAAGTTGCAATTCCACACCCACGGAAGAATCTGCGCCTTGGGAAAGAGGATCCTGTGGTCCCTTCGGGAGGGGGGGGGGGAAATGCGACCGAGCTCCCCTCCTCCGTCCTCGGCAGGGTTGCTTCCATTCCTCCTGCCGTGTTGGTGGGAAGGGGCCTCTGCCAGGGCAGTTTCTTCGAAGGATACGAAGCCTTCGTCACGATGTGTGTGTGTGAAAGGGACGGGCAGAGCAGGGCCCTCTTGGCAGCTGGGAGCTCCAGTCACTGGCCTCCCTGCCTGGGCCCTTCCGCTTGGAGGCCTGCCGGGAAAGGGGCTGTGGTGGGCCAGGTTCCTTCTGCCGCTGGGCTTTGGCCAGTTGCTCCGTCTCGCTTCCTCTCCCGCCCTGGCTGTGGCTTCGGCATTTCCACACTTCCCCTCCGGGCTTGCAGCCGGCCCCTGGCTCTTCCACCCGAGCGTCCTTCGCTCAAGACGTGTTGCTCAAGCCACCGTCTCTCGGAGACCTCGTGGGAGCTGCTTGGCCCCGCCCGGTCCTAGGATGGCGGCTGCCAGGCTCCCCCACCCTCTTCGGCTGGGAGTCCTGACTGGGGCCCTCTTGAGAAACCGAGCAGGTGGGACGATTCCACGTTTCCTTCCAGCTTCAGAGCCTGCAGAGCGAAAACACGAGCCTCCGGCGGCAGGCCACCCCCAACACCCACCCAGCTTCGGCTGGCTCCGAGTACGCAGACGTGCCTTCCATTCGGCGCCCCTCCTTGCGCAGCAGCCGGCCGATGTCGATGTACGAGACGGGCTCCACCCAGAAGCCCTACCTGCCGCTAACCGAAGCCGCCTACCCCGAGGAGCACATCGTGCCCCGGCTCCAGCTCTTCCATGTGAGTCACACAGCTGCCCTGCCGGCTGCCTCCTGTTTCCTCTCCAGCAACCACTGAAGCTCCTTCACGCACGGCCCTACCTGCGTTTCCTTTCCCCATTCAGGAGTGGGGGGCTCTCTGTGTAGAAAAGCCGCCTCATTCTCTTCCTTGCTGCCCCAGCCCAGGCAGCTCCCAGGCCCCCTGCCAAGTCTGGGCCCCAGCCTCCCCCAGGCCACAAAATCTGGGGATTCTCTGGTGGGCGTGGGGCGGGCGTGTGTTTTTCCCAGCCTCCTTGAGAACGCTTGGTAAGAGGCAGGACCTGGCTGCCATGTCCCTCTGGGGGAAGAGACTGTGGGGGCAGAAAGAGGCTGCGGGTGGCGACTCCTCCATCTTCTCCCTTCCAGATGTCCCGGCTGGAGAAACAGAGCAGCTTGCCCGAGGGGGATTACGACAACACCGGCCCTGCTCTGGAGCTGGACGAGACGGGGTAAGGGCCGACACTTGAATGTCTGGGACCCTCGGCAGTTTCTGGTGCCGGCTTGAGCCAGAGAGAGCCGGGGTTTCTCTGTCATTCGGGGGGCAGGGGAGCCAGTCTGGGGCTGCAGCACGTGTCTTTTGACAGGCTCATCAGGAAGGCCAGGCAGCGGAGCGTCCTTGGGCCAGAGGGCAAGGACCCCGAGTCCCACCCCAGCTTCCCCAGCACCGAGGACGTGATCCGGAAGACGGAGCAGATCACCAAGAACATCCAGGAGCTGCTGAGGGCGGCCCAGGAGAGCAAGCACGAGAGGTGAGCCCTGGCGGCCTGCGCTTTGGGGCGGCTGGGAACAGGAAGGGCCCTTCCCCTCACCTGCCTCCTCTGCCCTCTGCAGCTACATCCCCTGCTCGGAGAGGATCCATCTGGCCGTCACGGAGATGGCAGCCCTCTTCCCCAAAGTGAGTAAGGCTCCTCTGGCAAGAAGGGAGGCCCGTAAACGGGAAACCGGGTTGGCCAAAACGTTCCGCCTTCCTCGCTGTGTTCCAGAAGCCGCCGTCGGAGCTGGTGCGCACCCCGCTGCGGCTGCTGACCTCCAGCGCCTTCCGCCTGCACTCCGAGTGCGTGAAGGCCCTCCCGCCCGAATCCTGCTCCACAGCCGACGTCCAGCTGGTCACCCAGCAGGTCATCCAGTGCGCCTACGACATCGCCAAGGCTGCCAAGCAGCTGGTCACCATCACCACCAAAGAGAACGCCAACTGAGCAGCCTCTGCTGCCGCCTTGGAAACCGGGCTCAGGTTTCCAGGGGAAGCTCTTTTCTACAGGAATATTTAAAGCGGTGCGTTGCCATTTTTTTTTTAAAGGAAACTCAGTATTAACTTTTTTGCATGTTGTTTTTCTAAGAAGACTTTTTCCCCAGGATTGCCAAATCCACTGCCTTATTTGGTGCTCCGTGTTTGCCGGCATTGAGTGCGCGCGTGCTGGAAGTCTTCTCGAGTCAACCCTCCCATTCACCAGCTTGCGGGACTTTTTTTGCTGTGGCGAGGAGGGTAGTGCGAATCCTGCGCTCTTTTTTAGCACCCACTGGGAACTCGGGATGCCCAGAGCAGAATTCAGGGACCTGCCCCATAATCCGGCTGGGCGGTTGCTTGGCACCATTGAACCACTAGAGGGCGACCTCTCGAGATACAGGGAATGGTCCCAAGGACCTTCTGGGGCTCCACTTGGAAGGGGAAGGAGCAGCCCCCCCCCTCCCTCCGAGGGGCAGCCCCTCGTCTCCATAGGCCAACATTTGAGGAAGAGCCAGGCAGGTTTCCTCTCCCCCCCCCCCCGGTGGCTCCTCCTGCTGGCCTTTCCGGAAAGTGCTTTTGCAAAATAACTCTGCCTTGGGAGGCCTTGTGCCTTCCCCAATATGGAAAGCTCTCCTTATCTGCTCTTTCGCCTTTTTCACTTTCATTGGGGATTCCTTTACCCATACGGACGCATGAGGGTCTTTAGTGCACGCGGAAGGCCTGGCCAGGGGAGCCTGCGCTGGATGTGGTCAGCTGAGTGCGGTTGGGAGGGGCAGCTGTTCAGGCAGCTCCTCGTGCTGACCTCCCCCAGGCCCTCGGCCTCTCGTGGCCCCCCCATCCCCGTCTGTTACAGCCCAGGAGGCCTCTGTGCGAAGTATGAAGAAAGCACACGGCCAAGGCACAATGGCCGATCCATGCAAAAAGTGTTTTTTTGGGGGGGCAGAAAGTAAAGGGTTGGAAGGTCGGGGGTGGCTTCCCTATTGGCCACCCCCCCCCCTGGGCCTAGTTGGAAGCTTCCGGGTAGAGGCAGATGCTTGGCCAAAGGCATCAGCCCCGGAGGACGAGACGACGCCTGGCCTTCCCCATCCATGTCATGGGCTGAGGACTGGCCTGCAGCCAGAGAGCAGCTGTCCCGGGCCTGGCTTGCTCAGGACCCCCTGCGAGAACGGGGGCGCCAGCTGCTTTGCGGCTGTAGAGACAGATTCCCCACCGCCATTTTAAAGCCACAACTAAGTGAAGAGTCCGTGGTGTGTGTGTGTGTGTGTGTGTGTATGTGTGTGTGTATAAAAATATCCTGCTAGTGTGTGCATATGTAAATCTCACGTGTATAAAAACCAAGTGCCATCCGATTTTGAATGCCGGTGTTTCATTGCAGCTCTCTCTTTCAAAGACGTTGTGCTATTTGGGGGAGGGGTCGTGTGGAACGGAACCAGAACCATCTTTGATCAGCCTTTCCGGTCAGCACCAGGCCAGAGAAAACCAATTGGAAAAGAAAAGCACTTTACTGACCCTCCAAGCACCATCATCTTCCCTCCTGCCTTGGCCAACAGCCTCCGGGTAGCAGCTGCACCCTGGGGAGGGGTGGGGGGGGGAGGCAAGAGGACCACTCTGGGGGAGCCAGCCCACCCCTCTCAGTCTCCTAGCATCCCTGCCAGCTCCAAGCAGACGGTCAGCAGAGCAGGAAGCAGCTGGCAAAGAGGTTCTCGGCCACCCAGAATCTTCTTTAGCTCCAGGCAGCTTTGCGGTAGCTGTGGCACTAGAAGGAGGGCAGAGGGAGGATGCCAGTCACCAGTCAGGTCTCACCCGTCAGCGGTCAAATCGGATCCCTCCCCCTGGGGAAGAGTACTGGGGGGGGGCAGCCCTGAGACCCGTCTTCGCAGAGCAGCGCCATTCAGGGCCATCTGGCCTGCAGCCCTTGGCCAGTCCTGGTGCCCTCTAGACAACAGCTCCCACCTTGTTCCGGTATCCAGCCTCCGCCATGCGCCTGGCCTCCAGCTCCTCCAGCTGCTGGTGCTGCTCCTCTCGCGCCCGGGCCTCTGTGGCCGCCTCCTGCTGGTGCTGGAGCTCCTCCTGTTGCTGCCGCTGCCGCTCCGTGAGCTGAAGGAGGAGAAGGTCAGCATGGGACGGGGCACCTCTCAACCCCCACCCCCCCAGCCAGCCCCCCCGGGGCAAGGAAGCCCCACCTGGGCCTGCAGCTCCTCCTTGCGGGCAGTTTTCCGCTCTAGCGCCGCCTCCTGTTCCCGCTGGGTCAGCTGCTTGGCCTCTTCCAGGCGCTGGATCAGCTGCTCCCGGCACCTGACGGACTCCTGCTGGGCGTGCCTGTTGCGCTCCACCTTCTGCTGGATCTGCTGCTCCCTCTCAGCCAGGACCTGTTGGGAGCCACAGGAGGGACGACTGAGCAAGAGACACCCCCCCTCCTTGCTTCCCCCCCCCTCCGGGAGGTCCTGCTCTCACCTCTGCCATGAGCCTGTCCCGGGCCTTCCGCTCTCTCCCCCACTCTTCCTCTCGCTTCTCCCAAACCTGCCTGGCTTCCTCCCTGGGAGGGCGAGGGAAAGAAAGGAGAAGGGAGATGCCCACTGCCCAGCAACAGGCAGCGCCCATCCCCACCAGAGCCTTCCCTGCAGCCAAAGGCACTCCTGCGCATGAGACCCACCGCCTCTGCCCCCCCCACATACACATTTCGCCCAACCCCAGAGGCCTCGGAGGTGAGGGTGCTGGTTCCCCGCTTGACCCTTCCGCCTCTGCCCCCCTCCCTCACCTGAAGATGGTCTCCAGCTCCGCCTCTCGTTCCCTTTCCAGCTGCAGCTGCTCTTCAATCACCTCCTTCATCCAGGCCACTGCAGCCACGGCTTCTTCCTGCCGGGCGGATTGCAGGCGCTGGTCCTTCTCGTGCTTCTCGGACAGGGCCAGGAGGATCCGCCTGTCCTCCTCCTGGAATCACAAAGCCACAGGAAGCCACCGCGGCTTGTGCCCCACAGGGAAGGGCCACTGCATCCCACATCTTTGGGTGGGTGGGGGAAACGACTCCTGCAGGCAGGACCCTTCCAGACCCCCTCCTGCTCTGGGAGAGAAGCTTACCAACTCCTGCTGGACCTGCTGAGCCCGTTTCCTCAGCTGGGCCTGGACCTGGTGCTTCAGGAAGCGCCTGGGGAAAGACGGGGGCACAAAATACGTTGCCAGGCAACCCCAAGAACTGAGAGGAGCCCAAGACTCTGCAAACAGCACAGCCAGCTGGGCCCAGCAGCAGCTCCGACAACGGAACAAAGATCGTA